AGAGGGGCGGCGAGGGGGGCGGCGATGCGCGCGGTGTTTTTTTAGGGATCAAGAGGGGACGGCGAGGGTTATAAATGTGTTGTCCTCGCCTCCCCTCTCCGTGACGCCGTCGTCTGCCGCCCCGTCTCGCGCTCTACCGCGACACCCTCTCCCACCCCTTCCTCGCCCCCTCCTTTCGCCACCGCCCTTTCGCCACCGCCACCGCCACCGCCCCCCTTCTTCACTTAATTAATTTGTTTTTACTACATGTTTTCAGGACTGACATAATGGCGGACGATAGAGCTGACCCGATTATGGACAACTATGATCCGGACGGTGAAGCACATATGTTCGGCATCATAAACGGCGATATTCTATATGTGCCGACCGGAGAAGAAGAAGATGATATCTCTTCTTATCTGAACCTTGACGGTCAAGATGAAGGGTGCCGTCAGCAAGATGATGCCGAACAAATGTCGATAAACGACGATCTTCAAATGGAAGTAGCAACCACCTCCGGCGCCGAGGTATATATATACATTGAGCCTCTGGTGATACAAACTAACTGATTTGAATAAATATGTGTGTACTAACGCGCGCGACTCTTTCTTATTTTAGCCCTCGGCCGGATCGTCGAAACAATCGAGTACGTCGTCAAAGCGTGGCGCAACCAAGACGATGAAACAAGGAGAAACATGCACCATCGAGGTTGTCGACAGTGCAACCGGCAGGCCGCTGGAGCCCCGCAAGAACGCCACCAAGTTTGTCAGCCAATGCGGAGCCATTGTTAGAGACAACGTCTCGATCACCGTCCAGGAGTAGAATGAGCCAAAGAAGGCACGAATTGATGGTTTCACTTTTGTCGATAAGAGAACAAAAAAAGATTGCTTCAAGAAGCTTATGGAACATTTCGTTCTACCTCCGGAATACAACAAATTCGATGAGGAGGGTAACAAGATTGAGGAAAACAAGGAGAGGAGGAGGCTAGTCAAACAGTTCGCTCTTCATAAGATGGCCGACGCATTCCGGAAATTCAAGCAAAATCTAGCCCATGACTTTGTCAAGCAGAACAAGACTCCGGATTTCAAAGGACAATATGAGAAACTGAAACATGATTGGCCAGAATTTGTGAAGCAAAAGAAATCGGAGCAGTTCATTCAAATATCAAAAAAAAATAAGGAAAATGCGGCTAAGAAGGAGTACAATCATGTTATGGGGCCAGGAGGGTATCGCATTTGGGTGCCTAGGTTGGAGAAGATGGAGAACGAGCTGAGGGCGCGAGGAATCCATCCAGGTACGGAGGGATGGGACCCAAGGGCCAAAAGCTGGTGGTACGGGCATGGGGGAACGCTGAACCCGGAGACAGGGGAGTGTGTTTACCGGGGCAAATTAATTAAACCCACCCAAGCCCTTATTAACGCAATGAGGGATGCTCAACAGGGGAAGATCAAGTTCAACAGAGAGAACGACGCGCTGACAAAAGCCCTCGGGAATCCTGAACACGGAGGACGTGTACGAGGCATGGGGCACATTCCGTGGAAAATAGGGTTCCCCCAGAACGATGACCCGTACGGTTACAGAAGCCGTAAGAGAAAGATGGATCGGGAAGCAGATGTTGTGGCGCGGTTGGCATCGGAAATGGATGTGATGAAGAAAACCATGAGTGTACTAGTAGCCGAAAGAGATGCAGCTCGGGTGCAGCATGAAGATCATCCAGCGGATCTCGGAAGCCAACAGCGGAGAAGCAGTGTGGCTTCCACGGAGGCCCCACCGGCTGGTGCAGATGCACCGACGATCGAAATTACTGCACCGGAACCTCTGGTGGTCCAAATTACTGCACCGGAGCCTCTGGTGGTCGAAATTACTTCACCGGAGCCTCCTCGCTACCCCGTGGACGATATAAAGGAGATGAAAGAATGTCATCTGTATTATCCTATCGGGAACATGTCCATGAAGGTAGCCATCGGCAGTGCTTTACCATGTTTACCTGGAGCACTCCACCACAACAACCCCATTCAAGATGGCTATGCTCGTGTCACGGTGGAGGACATAGTCCAAGGGTTTGAGGACCTGGAGATTGACATTGCTATACCTGAAGGGGAGAAAAGACTTGGAGATGTCAAGCGCCATTTCATTCTATGGCAAAAGAAGTTTATCAAGTTTCCAGGCGAGGCGCCAAGGACAACAAGTCCACCCTCCTACGGTGGTGGTGGTGGCGGTGGCGGTGGTGGTGGTGGTGGTGGTGGTGGCGGTTCACCTACACCTCCGTCACGTCAGCCGACGCCGCCCCCCAGTCCACAACGTCCGGCGGGTGATCAGCCGCCGCCCCCCAGTCCTCGTCCGGCGGGTGATCAGACGCCGCCCCCCAATCCACCTCCGGCAAAGAAGCAGAAGCAGTCCTGGATTATTAACCCGGACCCTTATGTACCTAAGACCACAAAGGTACCGGAGCCATCACTGAAGCCTCTCCCCACAAGGCCTTGGGAACGTAGTGCCGAGGAAGTCGACGCGGCCGCGGCTGCTGATTTGGAGAAATGGAAGGCGGACTGCAAGAAGAAAAGAGAGCCCGAGCCCAAGCCAGTATTTTCTGATGAGCAAAAGAAGTGGCTAAGTCATTTTTGAGCACACCGTCCCAAGCCGCGAAGAATCTGCCTAACGACTATGCACGTGAACTTCGCAGGCAGGCACTCATGTTCAAGGAGAACAAAGAGCGGGAGAAGGCCGAAAGTAAAAAAAGCGGGAAACAAGTTGCCCAGCTCGGGGAACAAAGTAAACAATCGATTGCCCCGCTTATAGTGGAAGCCTTCTGTCCGGATGCCCCCGAGATCATACAAGCTGCGGCAGCACAGGGATTGACTGTAACGAGTGCCAGAGAACAAGCGGCCAACTTAGGTATTACTCTTCGTGAACTGTTAGGCCTTGATGAGGCGCCAGTGAAGGAGGTAGTAATTACATATGTCAAGAATGGGCCTCTCGTCGAGCCTGCGCAGGAAAAGGATCTACCTCCACAAATGAAAGGTCTGCTGAAATGGTACAAGGGTTACATAAAAAATAAAAACGCCAAAGAATATATTTATGCGGAAGCTAGACATGAGCATCACTTCAAACATTACTATGTACAAATTGAACTGAGTGAATTGTTCCAGCTTTTCAATCTGCGCGAGCTCGATAAATCTATCATCAGTTGCTACGTTCTGTAAGTGATTTATTAATTTCTACCCCATCTCGTTCATATTGCCTGCACTATATATATGTCCTAACTATATTGTTGTGTCCGCTATTATACATGCAGAATGAAGATTAAGGAATGCAGAGTAAGGAACATCCATGATGTTGGGTTCATTGACCCACACATCGTTAATGGACATGTGTTGGAGCGTTACCCCGCCGACGTGGAGGCAGACCTGTGGCAGTTTCTTACAAAGCAGGAACTCAAAAGTGATATTCTATTTCCTTACCATTTTGAGTGAGTGTTTCTGTCTTGAGCACATTCTCTTTTGTTTACTCCATGCATGGTATGTGGCCGGCTAATCGATGAGTTATGCATGACGTACTGTGCATGTATCGTGTCCGCAGGTTCCACTGGATTCTGCTAGTAATTAAAGTTAACACCTCAGAATGTCTCGTCCACGACTCTGTGAATATGGATCCAAAGCTTTGGGGCGGCATGAGAAGAATGCTGCAGAAGTAATTATTTTCATTCATTTGCGCTCTATATCGATCGGCCTATTTCGTTCATTTGCTAATATCAAGTAACTAATTAATAACTCTCTTGTTCATTTAATTTTCTTTGCCTCGTAGGGTTTGGAGACGGTTCGTAGATACAAAGGTCGGTGAATTCAAAAAAGAGCTAGAATTCAAAATGTTAAAGGCTAAGAATGCTGGGGATATTCAGCCACCGGAGACCAATCTATGTGGATACTATGTCTGTGAGATGATCCGGAGATACACCTCTGAGCGGGTTCCGAGTGATACCAATGCTCAGAGGAATAACCTCCGGTGGATGCTTAGTCCAGAAGCTCGCTTCCGACCACTTCAAGAGGAACTAGCTGGATGGTTCAGCAGGGAAGTCCTCCATCCTAAAGGAGAACACTATTACGAGGACGTAGAACTTTATATGCATTAAATCATGTATGGAAACTTGTTCAAAATTGTATATGGTCATCCGATGATATTGAATATATACTGTATATTCCTCTTGAATTCTTTTTGGTTCTAATTTCAAATTTATTTGAAATTGTACATTCATATGCATGTATGTAGTACCGTAGAATATATGAAACTCCTTCAAAATTAAAATAAAGCACAAAAGAAATAAAACAATACAAATTAAACAGAAAACAGGTTTAAGGGGGGGGGGCTAAAACCCTAAACCTGCGGCGGCCTTTAGTCGCGGTTGGCCAGAAGAACCGCGACTAAAGGTCCTCCGCCCCGACGGCCACCTGGCGCCCACGTGGACGGGCCTTTAGTCGCGGTTCTTAAGCAACCGCGACTAAAGGGGGGGGGGCCTTTAGTCGCGCCCGTTCGGTCGCGGTTGCGCAACCGCGACTAATGGCAGTTGCGAACCGCGACCAAAGGCCCTTTTTCCACCAGTGCCTCCTGCCCAGCTCCTATAAATCTACGCATCTCATCTGATGCGGAAGTGAGTCTCTTCAACCAACCCAACAAACCAAAGCCCGATGGCCATCATCAAGCAGTCGCTCATTGTCCTAGTGCTGCTCATATGCGGAGCAGGCGGCTCCGCCACACCGGCGCCGGCGCCGGAGCTGGCGCTGCTGACGCAGGATAATCTGTGTGTCGGCATAAGGTCAGTACTTGCTTTTCTAGAGTACAATTCATTCATTTCAGAGAGGGCACGTGAAAAGTAAGTACTGACACAGGATAATCTGTGTGTCGCATAAAGCACGTCCAACGAAGAGCTGGCCTGCGTCGCCAACGTCGCACTGGCCTCCTTCGCCGGGAATGCCGTCACCAACGAGGTTACCTTCACGCCATGCTTCGTCCTCGCCGCCGGCAGGCAATGCTTGGCCAAGGATAAGGAGGAGCCCAACAAGGAGCACTGCATCGGCCTAGAGATCAGCAAGCAACTGCTGCCATGCCTTGGAGATAGCGCCTGGACCTGCTACAACGACATCACGGGGTACATCCCTCCCGTCTTCATCGCGTGCTTCCAAGGCAGAGCCCTCATGTGCACCCGACAGTGATCCTTGTCAGGATTTTCATTCCATCAGCTGCAGCATGATCAACCGCTTGCTTGCCGACAATAAAGGGGTGTGTGTGTGTGTGCGCGCGCGCGTGTGTGTGTGTGTGATTTAGTATATGGTAGTAGTAATATGGTATGGTTGTGCCATATTTCTCGGATTTATTTTGTTTTGATGATTGATGATGATTTCGCTGGACAAAAGAAAATAGAGTGAGAAGCATTGAGCCTTCCTTGTACTGATCTCATCAAAAGGAAGCAGGAAAAAAACAAAAGAATGGTTGGTTGTATAAGCACGGGATTGATTGATTGATTGCTGCGTGCTTTTATTCCATTCTCAACTTGTACTGTAGCGCATTAATTGATATATACTCCCTACTCCCTTTGTTTCTAAATACTCACTCCGTCCCTAAATATAAGTATTTTTAAAGATTCCAATGCGGACTACACACGGAGTAAAATGAGTGAATCTACATTTTAAAATATGTCTATATATAAATATCCGTATGTAGTTCGTATTGCAATCTCTACAAATACTTATATTTAGGAGCGGAGGGAGTAGGAGCATAAGACTTATATTTCAAATGTTCAAATATAGCGGTAGTTGTACTTAAATAAGTTCAAATATTACACTCAAATATTATTGCCCTCTTTAACCGCCCATGAATGCTCGATTAGATTTTCCTTCGGTTGCTCATGAGTTGCTTGATGCCAGATTCGTTGATGTCTTTTAACAAACTTTTTAAGTGTGGTGAAGGCCCCTTCACCTCCCACAAGATGTCATGACTCAACATAATGCTCATATATGTACTTTGTATCCGAATCCATTGCTTTAAAGAAGAAGGGACAAAAAAATTAGCTCGGCCAATTCAACGGACACTTGCCGGGCATGGTGAGCAGCGTAGGAGCGGATGGTACCCGAGTGGTGGTCGGAGGAAAGGCTCGTCCCAACAATAGAGAAGAATCGGCTTGGATCCCGGGTGTACAGCTGGAGGTGACGGACTCGTCGAGTACCAACAGGGGTGTGCAATATAATGGTGGTGGAGTGATGACAAAGGCAAGAGACAAAAAGGCAACGAGAGAAAATGGAAGGATGGAGGCGTGGTGTCTGGGAGAGATTTTTGATGGGCTGGGAGTCGGAGTCCTACATGTCTGATGTCCGGAAAAAGTACGTCTGGACCGCTCGGCCGATCGGTACATGCTCGTGTAGGATGTTATAACACGTCTGGCGGACCGCACGATCCAGACGTATGCGGATGGTTTGAGAGTCCGCTTTGGAAATACCCTAAAGAAGATGATCCGACTGTATGCGGGCGGTTTGAGTGTTCTTTTTGGAGATGCGCTAAAAAGGGACTGATTTCAGTCAATAAGCGGTTAAGATAATTCCAACATGTTAAGCAACTTGCAATGTTTGGACAGGTTCTATGACTAGAAAACACAGATGCTGCGGCACCTATCAAGTTAAGTTGTAGTTTCCAGTTTAAGGAAAAACATCGGTAGGGCAAGTGCGAAAACTAAAAGGGAGCAACACAGACCTTGGCAAGAACATACATCCATGTTTCGATTCAACCGGAACTATTTGGGAACAAGGATTTTTACACCCTCATCATTCTCCATGGGAACACAAAGAGAATATATCTCATTATGGTATAACTAACGAGCACAAGATGAGTGTAATTAATCTATAATCTAATAAAAAAAAACCAACTAACCCATCTAATCTACTGAAAGGAAACAAGATCCAAGATTAAACTTGGGGTTCGAAGATCAAAGGGCTAGGCCGGCGTATGTCGACAAGGTTCTCTAGGGCTGGAGACAAGATCGGGATGAACTGATGGGGAAAACACAAGGAAATAGCCAGCAGCGGACCGAAGATGGCCGTGGGTGGTGTCAGTGTCCTTGTGCTTCCCGGCTGGATCATACCAGCGCCATGCATGTGCACTGCATTGGCCAGCAGTGAAGAGGGCAAGACCACGATGGCAAATTAAGATCAAATGGAACGCACATAGCACATGCCATTGATACGAGTCAGGGGTATGAAGATGGATGCTTGGCACGTCACACGGCCGCGTTAGTCATGGATTGCTCAACTGGTTTGGGCAAAAAGGTTTCGCTCGCTCACTAGAGCAAAGGAACATGGAGGAGACTGAGGTCGACGGGTCCGGTCCGGTCCTTTTTATAGATAGATAGATAGATAGATAGATAGATAGATAGACGATGCAAGCTAGTCTTGGAATTTCGGTTCACACAAGAAACAGCCCCACGATGCATGGCTTGGCTAGCTTATTAACGGTTCACACAAGAAACAGCCCCACGATGGCTTGGCTTGGCTACAAGAAACAGCACCACCAACAGCCAAAAGAAGCTGGTCCTTAGGCGCCATATTCTTTTGGAGATCCCGGAAATAATGAATGGTCCAACACCACTATGTCGGAAACAGATATACACACATAAGGGAATCCATGATTTCCCACACACGTATTCCCTCCGTAAAAAAAAAAAATATAAGAGCATAATGCAGTAAACAATAGACAAAAAATAAATTTCTTTACGGTGGGAGTATTATGCAAGGTTGGGAATGAATAAATCCCCAACACATAGCCAAGTCGCTTTTCCTTTCTGTAGCATAACAACACATATCTAGCAAAAAAATTGACTAGTAGAGGGTCTGCACTTGTAGCATAATGGAGATGGAAAGTTCAATTATACATGAAGTGATCCAATTGCAGAACATTTCAGAAAAGCAAAATAAAATGGAAAAAAATAGTTTATAGTTGCGATTGGTTTACAAGGAATCACATATGTCTTGGGTGACCAGAGCTATAGTGCTCCTTAACTCCAGTGAGATATACAGCCAAATACAATCAATAAGAAACTGATCTTGTGTTTCAGAAGAAAAAAATTTGGTCCTCCAAGGTCTAATCAACCATCCATAGCAACATATTTGCTCTTAGACAAAAAGTTACACGTCATCACTAACTTGCGACCCGGTAGGCTGTTGGATCCAAATAGCAATGGCGTAGATTTTTACCCCGCAAAAAGAAAAGCACTGGCATAGATTTTTGGTGACATGCCACCAGTACTGATATAGTGGTGACGTACCAAATATGCCAATGCCACCACTATTAAAAAAAACAGTGATGACGTGGATTGAAAATGAGGCGCCACCAACTAAATTTGTGGCTAGCCCTTTTTTCCCCTAGTGCATCACCTCACCCTCCTAGACAACCTCAAGGAGACGTTCGCCAACCTGCGCGAGTACCAGATCAACCTGAACCCGGAGAAGTATGTGTTCGGCGTACCACCTGGCCAGCTACTGGGCTTCCTCGTCTCAGAGCGTGGCATCGAGGCCAACCCCGAGAAGATTAAGGCGATCGAGCGCGTGCGCAAGCCAGCTTGACTGCGTGAAGCCCAGAAGTTCACCGACTGCATGGCCTCTCTCCGCCGGTTGGGCGAGAGGGCTTTGCCCCTCTACCAGCTAATGAAGAAGACGACCGCGTTCGACTAGACCCCGCAGGCGGACGAAGCCTTCGGTGACCTCAAGCGCATGCTCTCCACCGCACCTGTCCTGGCCGCGCTGGCCGGGAAGGAGCCCATGCTAATGTACATTGCGGCCACCACCCGCGTGGTCAACGTGGTGCTAGTGGTGGAGTGCCCGGAGGAGGCAAGGCGCAACCGGTCTAGTGGCCCGTATACTATGATACTATCTGAGCGAGGTGCTCTCCCTCTCCAAGCAAAACTACTGCCACTACTAGAAGATATGCTACGGTGTGTATCTGGCCGCCAACAAGCTGAAGCAGTACTTCCAGGAGCACTTGTCACTGTGATGAGCATGGCTCCTCCGAAGAGATCATCGGCCACCGGGACGCCACCGACCGGGTCACCATGTGGGCCATCGAGCTGGCTGCCCACATGATTTTCTATGAGCCTCGCACGGATGCCACATCCGAGGCGTTGGCTGATTTCCTCGTCGACTGGGCCCAAACCCAGTACTTACCGCTACCTCCCGACTCACTGGCGGATGCACTTTGACGACTTGAAGATGCGCTCTGGCTTGGGAGCCGACATCATCCTAAATTCCCCCAAGAATGACCGGCTGTAGTATGCGCTGCAGATCCACTTCCCAGCATCCAACAACGTGGAAGAATACGAAACCCTCGTCCACAGCCTATGGTTGGCCAAGGAGATTGGCATCCGACGCATCCATTGTTGCAACTTGGACCTGGTGGTGTAGCAGTTCTCTGGTGATCGGGATGCCAGGGACGCCAACACGGCCAGCTACCGCTTCTTGGTTCAGCAGATGTGCGGCAACTTTGAGGGTTGTGAGTTCCACTGCATCCCTCGAGCCGACAACGAGGCTGCGGACACGCTCGCCAAGATCAGCTCCACCCGGCAAGCCATTCCAACTGGCGTCTCCCTCGAGCATCTGCACAAGCCCTCCATCAAGCCCTCTCCCGACTCGGAGTCCATCTTCATCCTGCCGGCTCCAGCCCAGTCCCTTGGGCTGCCGGCTCTGGCCCACCACCTCCCAACCCAGCCGGCCCCGGCCCGTGGAAGCCGCCATCCTGACGGTGGTGTAGACATCATCCTGCGCATAACCAATTCTCACTTACCTCCTGAGCGGCGACCTTCTTCATGCGTGATGGGCTAATATGACACATTAGCTTAGAAGATGCTAATTGAACAGGCTGCGCGATCCAAGCTGTTCATTTTGCTTTTAGAGACCTCCAATGTGTGCATGCTTGCAACCACTCGATTCTCTTAAATTACTTTCATTCCTGGCGGGATGCGGTGACATTTTGATAACTAATAAATGTGTACGTGCAATGCACGTTAATATGAGAGTTATATTAGGTAGGATACCAATTTACCTTATTGCATGTTTATATTTGATAGAAAATTAGTTACACATTAATTACGTGGTTAGCATAGAAATTGATATTTTTATAATATTAATTGCATGTTAAACATGTTGAGTGGTTGGATGTTCAAGATTAATTGGAT